ACAACGAGAAACAAATTCGGGGAACAAATTCGTGATGTCGGCGAACGTGGAGGATCGCAATTCTCCGTCTGCCGGGGCACGAATAAGGAGAGGCGGACCCCCCGGGGCGCGCGGACCGCCCTGAAAATATTTTTAATTTTATTACGGCCTGTAATATGGAAATTCTATGGTCGCGGTTATCAGGTGTGAATTGAATTATAGCGACTGCCGACGCGGCCCTATTATTTATACATGGTCGGGTAACATGTTCCCCGACTTTCGCCGTGCTGTGCCCGAGCGTTCGGTCGGTGATAGGAAACACGCGGCGCGCGGATGGTAGTCTATAAAGCCACGTGTCGGAGCGGTACTAATTCGTTATCCACACAGAATGGCGAGGCTACGCCGCCGTATCGCGGTAATACGATGCCTATAATCAATTCCCGAGCGCTTGCAGCACCCGCGTTAAGGAATAAACCTTGACATATTGCTGATACAAACGATTCAATTTATCTCCTCGCTCCTCGTTGTGTCTTGGAGAATTTTGGCACCTTCCTTCCGAAATCGTTTTCTCGACCTTTTCTCACGTACGAATCCGGCACGTGTGATTTCATAATATCGTTTCAGAATTATCTGTGTTTGTAAATTTTTTATGTAAAACTTGGAAAAAAAATATATTTGAGATACCTTGTATTTTACCGCCGTATAATGGCCGATGATATCTCTTGGAACCCCGCTAATGGTCAATTCACTGGACACAATGGGGTTTGAGGAGTGGTCGCTAATCGACGTTGTATCGATCGGCTTTGGATCTTTTCGAAAATCGTAAAAGGACCACGAAATATCGAACTGAGGTATGATTATTAAAGAAGGCCGGAGAGAGAATCAATTTTCACAGATTCTCGCAGAGGCATTCTACTTTTAAAATAGTTTACCTACTGCGCACGCGGAAGGTGGAAATTGATGGATTCACGTTTCATTTGTTATCCAAGATCATATGCGACTAAAATTACTTCTCACGTGTTAAAAGATATTCTATTCAAATAAATTACGTGGTTTTATCGGTCATTTCAACGATAGAAGACTAAAATCGGGAACGACAAATTATATAATTATATAATTGACACTTAATTACGCCGAAACTTAAATCCGTAATTAATAGTGAAGATGCGGAGATTTATTTTTACTCTCCAAATTCAGAAGTTTTAACGTTTCTCGAATTCATATGTAGTTGATGATGCATCTTTCAGTGACTGCTAAAAAATCATTGACGATGACGATAGCAAACGACGCGACACGTCGCGTCGTGTTGTCGTACATGTCTTCTGTCCGCGTAGGTGACCTATTTTAGATCGCTTCGAATCTTCTGCCAAACGAGGAAGTAAGTGGATACGAATAATGTCGCGCATATATCAGCTCGAGATGGTCATATAGCAGTCTATATGGCTTCTCTGCATGGCTCTATATGAACGCGTAGAAATGTCGTTCGTTCTCTCATGCAGTAAAATGTTCCTTTCGCAGGTTGTCGACTTCCTTTTTTCTCTCCATCTCGTTTTTATAGGCTTCGTTCATCAATCTATGCATTGTATTTTCTTATTTTAGATCATTCTTCTTATAATATAAAGTTTCAAAATTTAGGGCAAGTATTATAAATCTGATATATAATTTTGCAAATTAGAATCCGTTCTAAGAAATCTCTCATACGTTAATTAATAAAATTAATTACTGTAATCTCTGCATATAAATTTAAAAAAATTGATTTTGGATAATTACATGGAGTTAAATGGAGTTGATTAGAGTTTTTTGATGACATAAAGTTATTTAATCACTTATTGAGCGTTGTATTTCAAAATAGCGTGTTTCACTATGATTCTCAGCAATTAACACATAAGCTTTGAACAACGCTTGTTTGTGAAGATAATCTCGAACGATACTTTTGAGAGAGTGAGCGTGTTAAGTGAGATACAATAATTTTTTGGACAAAGCTTGATGGCAATGTTCTGCCTGGTTCACTCTTCACGCTCGGCCATTCAGGAAACTAGATGTTTACGAGCAATTCATGGAGTAATACGGAGTATACGGTAACTTAGTGACACGTGGAATTTGACGACGTTTCGCTTATTTCTGTTACGAAAGTGCTTCTGTTCGCTCGCCATTGTTCACATTGCCCTTTGAATTGCTGTGCCGTCCTAGTTTGCATTAGACCAATTTTGCTTCGCTATTATGATGTATTGTGTCTTTTGGAGAGACACGAGAGGTATTGCTACAAGTTTATTTTTACAAAATTGGCATTCTCTATTTTTAGAATTTTGATATAATTAATGGAGTTCTTATCTAGATAATTTTTTTTTATTTGTTGCCGATTGATTTCTCACACTTACAACTTGAAAAGTTAGATACAGAAGAACCAAGACATTTTTATTTTTCTAAATTTTTTGAGAAAATATGTAGGTAGATATACGTGTACGTAACTGTAATAATTTTTAGCGATTTGCTAATAGACCGTTTAGAAAATTTCAATCATATTGTCATCGATACATCGCACATGAATTTGCGGTTACCCCCTGTTTACGCCGAAGTTCTCACGCCAGTTTCGCCGAGATTACGCCGTCCACTTCGAATGACCAGGCAAGGACCTTGGGAATATTACGGCCCACTCGGTACAAAGGCGTGGAAGCTCACCCCTCGTAAATATTTCCAATAAATATCATCGATACCTACCGTTGACCAACGCCTACGTCGTGCGCCAAGATCACATTTTTTCGATGGCTTTGTACCTCCTTGCGCTTGATCAACACTCATTTTTACGAATTTTTACGACCACAGCAAATTTTTCATTGAATAATGATATACAGTTGCATTTATGTATCAATATGTAAAAACATTTCGGTACGCTTTTAGTGGAGTTAAGTTTTATTCTATTTATTCAATTCTTTAATATTTTATATAAAAATTATATATTTTTTAAATATTATTTTTTTTGAGATAAAAAATTTAGCTACCACAGAGAGTACAGTGGAAACATGAAATAATATTTAATCCCTTTAATCGATATACGTAAGGTTATTTTACGTATTTAAGTAATCATAGAAACAGAAATGATTCCGAAGCTAGTGGCATATTTGCTAGAGAATGAAAATGGGAGGTATAGTAGGAAGCTTTCCGACGCACGACGGATACTGCGTGAACTCGTGCGAACCGTCAGGAAGATTCACACAATGCAGGCGCGGTCCGATAATCCTGATTTAGACGGGCCTATATATTAGATTAAGGATCGTGAAATTGAATGGTGGAATCAGCGGAGAGAACGATCCGGCTGTCAACTGCGAGCAACGGAGTGTATCGTGCGAAAAATAAACTGCCCCTGGCGCGAGTGGGGTTAGTAAATTTCGCAGGTGGTCCAAAGCTACCTGTATATCCTCTATCTTTCTTCTTCTCTTCTTCTCCTTCTCTCATTTCGACTCTTCTCCGTTGGTTTGCGTTCCCGGAGTATTCCTTTCCGTCGAGGAGTGCCGCGAATGTCCTCTCCCGAGAAGGCTCGTAAATCCTTGCATTTACCTCGCGCCTTCTGTCCTTACTTGGAGCGTAAATACGCGAATCCCGACTCGTCAAAGGCGAGGCGCATGCACGCTGGCATTCGCCAGCCACCATTGCGTCATAGCATTGTTCGTTGTGAATTTTTAATCTCATGTTCTTACATCATGTACGCATCACACATAATTACTAAATTGTTAATATTACAGTCACTGCTACCATTCGCGATGTTAAAGACAAGCTATTTTACGTTAGTTACATTAAAACTTATAAATTACATTAATCAAAACAGGACTATTTATTGAATCGCGTTTGATTAATTATTAATAGAAATGCACTCAGAGAATGCAAGTAGTTTATACATTTCATAATGTACATAAGCACACATATCTAATGTATGCCTTTCATGAATTATATGTTGTGTTAATTATGAAATCGCGAAATTACACTTCAAGATGTGAAACGTACGAGCAACAGAAGCGGCTATAAAACAGAGTAGGAAAATATCTCACGCCTAGTCAACGTCGGATTATTACGTCGAACACAAAAGCCATACCACGAGTCCATTATTAATGCGACCGATACTCATTCCGTACTCATCCGTAGATACGATCTCTGCCTAGCCAATCGGAGAGATAGCTACGTCTAAACCCGTAATTACCATTAGCCCACCCATAGCGGGTGCGACGTTACAAGCCGATTAACGAAAGTTTCAATTTACCTTGCACCGTATTCTACGCCTGTTAATCTAAAACGTGCGTGTATAAATAGTACACACCATGTTATTACTTTCTTGAACTTGCATTGTTTAGCTAACAGCTCATCTTTCTTTCGTGTTGTTAAAAAAATATTTTGTTTATTAGATTTTTCTGTGGCATTTCTGAATATAATGGATTGAGTAACGAGCATATTCAACGATGTAATTGTTGCAAATAATCTTCAAAATCTCACAAAGATGCTCATCATAACAATATGAATATTGACGAGATAGAATCCGTGAACTACGTCTTTAATATCGATATCTTTGATATCGGTGTCTTCTCTGTCGAGAAGTGCCGGTGTTACAATCATCGAGTCATCGTGCCCGTGGCGGGAGCGTGCCTTTAAGGTTTCTCACCGGTGTTCACCACCGACATCATCGCGTATCGTTATTTAACGTGAGACTCGAGTCAATCAATCATTCGTTAGCGATATATGCGATCCGTGATCGCGGCGCGCGATGGTCTCGTGCGGTCTGTTAAGCTTGCGCTATTAATTAACCAGAAATAGGGAATGACTTGCGATATTGTACATACATCCGTACGGGTCTCATACGAGACGAAAGTATGCAGCGATGGTAATCATCGCGGAGATGAAGTCGTTCAGAGATGCCGTTTAAAGTTTCTCCCGAAGCACCGCTGCAGTCGCGGCTGTCGCTAAGCTAAGGGTTATTAATTATTTCTCGCTGGCGTTTTCCTCGGTGATGAATGTTGTCTTCTTTTTTGTTTCAGGCGATAGCGAAGAATCTGCAGCCGGAGCAACGGTGAGTATCGGGGATGACTTGTCGTTTGGACACCTCTCGTGTAAACATCGCCGGCCAACCGCCTCTCTTTCATTCCGCAAATATCTGTACCGCGTTTACAACACGGTGCAGAATTTCTCTCCTTGTAGACAGGAGATGATGCATGAGCGTACTAAAGCACATTAGCGAGATCCGACGCGGAGTGGTGTCGCGTCGCGGTAACCCGACGCGCGAAAAGAAAAAAGAAAGGAGTATTAGTCGTTCGTCGATAAATCGTGGCCGCTCGTGGAAATTATAGTAATGATTATAGTGGTGCGTTCGAAGAGAGACGTGATACTTCTCACTCGAGAACTCTCAGCTACATAAATCTGCCGGGTCACATTAGCTCGCCGCTAATTGCTTTTAAATCGACCAGTGTATCCTAATAAATTTCACGAGCTTTTTTTTTAATAACATTTCGGCGCGGACACGAGCGAGGGTTGTTTATTTATGGGAAATTATTCGGGGCAAAGCGTGGTCGTGCTCGTTTCTGTATCTACGCACGCACGCACGCACGCACGCACGCACCTGGTACGTCTCAAAGGTTTTGATATATCGAAAGGGATGGTGAAACTATTTGGGCCGACACCCCCGCCTAATCCGATCCCTTTCGTTTGGAGCCTCGGAGATTCCTTGCTTTCCTTAATATATCATCCAGTCGTACAGATCGCGCCCCTCGAGAAGAATCTCCCTCTGTGTACGCCGTCTTAACCGACTAGATTCTCCTATCTTCTTTATATCTATAAACGAAGAAAGACGTCGTTTTATGATTCAAGTAGCGCAGGAATTTTACGAGCGATCGATAAATCGAAACACCACTCACCGCGCACATTATAATCCGGCCATGTGTCCGTTGTTGCAGATTTACTACCGCAAAATTGCTGCAAGCCTTTCCTCATCTCAAGTATATCGTCGACTTGACCAATACTTATCGCTACTATGACAAAAAGGTAAGGGATACAAAGCTGAAACTTGATTTTAGCATGCATAACCAAACGACCGATTTTTACCGACTTGAACAATAATCGCTCTACATAATCGATAATTAATACATACCGATATAATCACGCTAATTTTGAGAGAAATGTTTTAAACATGTTACAGAACGTAACGTAGAAAATAAATAAATTTGAGATTGTTACACGCGATTAAAAAGGGGCCATACGCCAGGCAATATCGTTTGATGAAATAATACTGATGTAGCTACATGAATTTAATGCGGAAACATATCGCGTATCGTTCGAATTTCAAGCCGTAATTCGCTATGTTTATGCACGCGCTCCCTTACCTTTTAGTAACTCGAGATGAGAGACGTCTTCTCTTTTCACTCTCCCGCAAGTTGTCACCTGCTGCATTCCTTGATCGGGCAGATATACAAATTCTCTCTTTCCTTTTCTCAAACTTCACGGTTCAACTATCTGTTATCGTTGTTCGTCTATCATATTTCCCTCGGTTTCATCTGCCCCTCTTCGTTCGTTCTCGCTTTGACATTCTAATATCGCATCAGAGTCAGTTTCCGACTTGAGAACGCTCCGAGAGCGGTCCGACTAATTTGTAGCGAGGGTAAGAGGGGCCGGGAGCTAATGAACTTATTATTAGATTTTTGGAATAGCCAGCTGCCACAACGACTCGATCGGCTGACTGACTGCCGGTCCGAGCCGTTGTGCCGAACGGGAATGTGTCCGCGATGCTTTCTGGGTCAGCTGTCAGAAAGAAGGACCGAAGACCGATCAATTATATTAATAAGCCGTGGAGTCGGTTCAGTCGCTTCTCCGCTTTTTGCCCCGGCCCCACCGACGTTTGGACAGCCATTTGCCACGCGAGGAGAGTGAGGAATCCCAGGGGGATATATGTTTTAAAAAAAACATTATACACGCCGCCGTGAACATCAATAGCGCTGCGGGGCAACGATAATTAACAGAGAGATCTCTCTCGGTGTCGCCCACGCCTAATTAGAGCGCATTATACATGTATAATGAAGCGCTTAGTCGGTCCTTTAATTTTCCTGCCCGTGGCCGATGTCATGGGGGAAAACAAGATTGTAGAGACAAAGGACCTCGCATACCGGTTCGTAAAGATTTTATCGTTAGATGTGTCTTTTACTCTCTCAGTTTTGTGTATATTTACATATACAAAACTCTTGCTGTTTGCGTACGCGGTGCACGCTGAGTTTTCTATCTTCTTCTTCTTAAAATCTCAGAAATACGATGAGCCCCATTAGATACGGTTAGAGAATCTCTCCTATATGAAGAGAATTATTTATAAGTGTAATTGTTATTATAATATTTCTCGTTCTCGAGAATTATTTTTCTTTTTTTCTGATTTATTATAAAGTAACTTGTAACTTTGCTTTTATTATGATTGAAAATCGGAGATATTCTTGAACGTGCGAAAGAATTTCTTGCGCATTATCGACGGTTCGAGAAAAGAAAATAGGTTCGATATAGCCATTAAGCGCAATAGTGCACGATCACCAGGATTGAGTTTCTAATATCTCGCTAAAAGCAAAGTCGAAAAGATTGATTATTATGACGTGATCTGTCATCAGAGTGGAAAAACTAGTCGTAACTGTTATCTGACATCACTCAGGTTAGAGTTACTGTGTTATTATTGTTATTGTTAAACGGCGTTTTTTAAAGATGACGATAAATATGTTAACGGAGCACAAGATATTGCTCCATTTTTTAATTAATTTTTGTCTCATGTTATTCATATTTTTTCGCAACGATTTATTTTTATATTATATTTATTAGCTTATTTCGGTTCGTTAATAGTGCGTTTGGAAGTATCATCCAAGAGACAGATAATAGCGAGATTCATGAATATGCAACATACGTTGTTGCTTCTAGGCGGACACGCGGGTATCAAATAATTCCTTTCGAGATACAAATGATTGTGAATCTTTCTTTCATTCGTGTCGATTAGTCTACGGAGTATTTTTCCTTTCCGCCCTTGCACATTTTGTATCTAATGATCGGTTGTTTCGATTTCCGAACGTTCAGTTTACGTCGTACTTGAATAACAAACACGTTCGCACTCAGAAACGTATGATTATCCGCATTGTTTGTAATTGACGGTTTTACGTGTGACAATTAGCGATGCTAATGAGTGCGCCGGGACGGTTTAACAGGACAATAGCTTGGTCGATCAGATTATACGCGTGTTCAATTCAATACGCGTTTTATTAATGCATCTGCGTTTCATGCGACGGAGAATATTATGTTTTTATTACGCAACATCACATATGCATGTGATTGTTCATTGTTGTTAACGGTTCTGTTACAGGAATTTACAAATGCTGGTATTAAATATGAGAAGATTGCTATTCCTGGGAGGAAGATACCAACTAGGGATATAATCGAAAAGTAAGTATGCGAATGATTTTATTTACAATGCTAGATACAATTATATAAAACGTCAATGACATATGACGGTGCTCGTGATATTTATATTGGCTCGATAAATGTATGATATTGATCATTAAAAGTCTCAGTTTGCTTAAAATACATCTTTGAAAATTGCGAATTTTGCAGGTATATGTAGTCTTAACACTTCTTTTGTCGTAACATATTTTAAACTGATTAAAATTCAGGAAAATTATTTATGTGTACTTAAAAAAAGATTAGTCTGACATGGAATGGCTCTCCATTGAATCTAACAATCCATTCGATTTAATGTCAGGCACGCGTGCAAGACAACGTGAACCTTTTCTGGTACGACTTGCGTTAACCTCTCGCTTAATGCCAATCGTATTTCATATTTATTATCCCTTCATGGCGATTGGCGATTGATCAGCGCGCGATTCGCATAGCGCAGGTGACGGCCGGTTAATCATTCGCCTGCAAATCATATTACTTTAACAAGGAAGCCGAGCCCGGCATGTACCGTTTTTCTGGTTCTCGGCATTCCGCCGTCGAGAAACCAGGGGCGAATATCGCGTCTGAAATTTATCGCTCATCGCTCTTTCTCTTTCTCTACCTCTCTTTCTCTCCTTCCTTGGATATTTTCGTTCACTAATTTAGACCGTAAAGCGTCAGCTATACAGCGAATCGTGTTACACTATTATTCGGAATACCTTGGTTCACATTGCAGCGAGGAATGAGTTTAGTTACGAGTATCTCGACGATTTTTTTTGGCTTTAATTATTTGCCAATTGTGATCTGCAACTCCACGCTCAATAATATTATTAGATAAATTTCTAGTTTTCGTTATGTCTTTGACATCTTTGGTTAAAAATGTACATTGTGTATAAAAAAAAAAATATAATATTAGGCATTCTTTCGATACTTAAAACTGCATTTTTATTATTATATTATTTTTTAAAGCTATTTTAATGATAATAAAATATTAAAGCTATAACAAAAAACTATAATTTTTTAATTTTTTTTACTTAAAAAAATTATTTTTAATGAGGGCAGAGTATTTTTGATTTTTATAAAATTATCGTTATACTTTCAGAAAGTAAGAAATTTATAAAAATTTATATGGTTAGGTATTGATATAGATTATAGAATATCAATAGCTATAACAATTCCGCTTATCTTAATCGATCACGAAGGACCTTGCGGTCCTTGAACGGAGAGAAAAGATGCAATTACTAAAATTCTCATCCAATGGTCGTTAAGTAGCCGAAACGGGTTGAATAAAATTCCCGAAATTCTGATGTTCAAGATAACGTCCAATTCTTCGTACTTTACTCGTACGGAATGGAGACGCGTGTTAACCTTTGTACGGCGCCATCACGCGCACGTGTGTAGCTCTTCTGCTTCGAATGGTACATGCAAAGTGGTCTGACGGGGCTGGTCAGTCGACTAATTAACTGCAATAAACGTCCAATGATTTACCGAACATTGTGCATCGTACCCATACTCTCCTGCTCGTCTTCCGTCTCCTGTCTCTCTCATGCTTTCGTCCTCTCTCTCCGTTATCGTGTGCGTGCAAAGGACATCCCTAAGTGCTACACGGTTGGATAATGTGTAAGGATTGCGTTATACGATCGAGGAAGAGTAATGCAAGAGCGCCGTAATTAGCGGCAGTTTCTTACGACGTATAAAAACTATTTATTATTACGATAATAAAAGTATTAATTATCAGTGTCCGCTCTCAAGTGTGTTGGGAAATGTTTGCGTTCGTGGAGAAATATGAAGACGTTCTACGGCGATATCCGACGCAATTATTTCTCGCGGCGAAGGTGCTACTAAAAACATTCGCATAAGTGCGTCGCGCGAAGAACATGACACGCGCGTAAATTTTTAACGACGTCACGTCGCATCGGGCCGAATTTTTCGACGGCTACCGCATTTAAATACTATTTACTCGTTCGATCGAGTGGGAAATAAATACGTGAGATATATTTCTTTAATGCGCGGGAACAATGTTGACCACTCGCGAGCCAGCCGAGCGGGTCAAAGCACGACCTTTCGCGCGATCATCCGACTTCTCGCTCTCCTCCCTCGGTCGTCGATCGGCCCGCACAAAGGACGCGGCCCGATTTGTATAATTCGAGGATAAAACGGTGATTCGCATCAGCGGTTAATAGCCGACAGGTATGCGAATAGCCTATCGCGCGGATGCCCGTCTGGTCCCGGCGCACTACTCTTTTGTTGATCTCTTTGAGTGAGACCTGATGGCTTTGTGGCTCGGCTGTTGCGCGACGTGTAATTAACTGCATCCTTGATAGGATTGGATCGGTTACCGGCGCTGTGCCGTTGTGAGGCCGATACGAGGAAGAAATAGAGATAGGGAGAAAGAGATGAGAAAGAGAAATGGTGAAAGAGGCAGAACGGAGTGCTTCCAGGGGTGAAAAAACACTAGGCGCCGTTTAATATCCTAGATATCCTTGAACTCTGACGAAAACGCGGAGGTGGACGAAAAGGTGAGATTGCGGTGAGCAAGGCGAAACCAACATAGACATCGCGCAAGGAGATGGCAAGGAGGCCACCTTTTGGAGTCGACCTTTCTCTGAATTTTTCCTATTTGTCTTTTTGGCCTCATCCTTCGGAGGTCGTGGTGCTCGTATCAGCGGAATTTATCAGGCAGTAATGTTAACTTACACTGGCCGGAATTTCTTCTCTTTCGCGCGTCTCGCGGTCGTCACGCGTCTGGAAGATCGAAAGTGTTGATCCTTTGCCTCAAGGATATCTTCGCGAATGCGTCTACGAAGCGCCAAAAGCGAACGTGCCAAAAATAGCCTTACAGCGGGCGCTTACGCTCGTTGACACTCGAAAATGGTATTTGGAAGGTAAACGACGTTTCCTTATTTCGCAGCGCAGTATTCAGGATTGACGATCGGTGATTAAAGGAGAAATCGCGGAGAAAGAACGGACGATATTACTCTCGCTCGGGACGGAGTCTTAAATTTCACGCGGCTAATTGCGTTCTTTGAGTGGTCGGTTAACGGGGTTCATGGCAACAAGTGCCTGCCTTTATTCGATAATTGATTTACTTAATGGGAAAGTTAATAAAAAGATGTAAAATAAAGACATAAATTATATCGTAAATTATATCGTTTTTCGTAAAGGCAATTTCATATTATTAGTTTGTGTTATCCAACATTGGGAGTTTTAGTTTTTTGTATAATTATTAAGTTATGATTTACGCATATATATATATTTAGGATTGAAATTTCATATATATAGGTAATAAATAAATTTTTAATTTGGAATTAAATAATATGGCTTGTTATTTATAAGTGCCGCGCAAATAGAACGTTAATGTTACTATTTTCAAGAAATTATTAGGCAGTGGTTTTGGTTCCCGCAACATGCAAGCCGTTATTTGGTAGTGTTCGTTCCGTAAACGTTTTCGGTTACCAACGATAATCACGTTGATAGCGGTTCATTAGTCTCGTGTGTGGCGGATTAAGCAATTTCACGTGAACCATGATGTTAATTGAAACACAAGCGTGCGCAATGTGAGCCTGATGCACGATTCTAGAACTGCAGTAATGGTTCGGATTTTTTATACTTGTATAAGCCGTGCATAGTTTTTTTTGCCTGTTTTTCTTATGTATCTATCGGATCGGTTCTATTGTAAGATATACTATGAAATATTTTATGAAATAAAATTTAATTTACTATATATTAACATCATTAATATAATTAACATTATTAGATGGCATTTCTTTGATTGTCATTCGAATTACAGCTACTGATATTATAATATTAATAATATCATATGCGGTATATCTTGTTCTTCTGCTAAGAATTTTAACAAGCCAAACGTAATTAAAGAGTCTTAAGAGTTCTCCTGTATTCAAGAAATCTATATTTTACTGGAAGGGGGTGGGATAATCTTTTGATGATTGCGCGAACATAAACTTCGACGATGTTTCCCTGAAAGATTGGTGATTGGTTTCCTTAGCGCTCGGGGCGAACCCATCTCAAATATTCTGACGTGTGGCGTCTCACGGGGCCGCGGTACTCCGACGGTGCGTGCCGCGTGGAAATCACGGGAGAGGCACGTTTTAGCAAATGATTGTGGGTGGTAAACGCGCGAGCGCGCGTTTCTCTTCCATGCGCATAATGCGTCCGAGCGCGTGCACGTTGCTTCGTATTTCCGGTGCCGTTAATTCGGCTCGCCGCGGCTCGAGAGCTGAACGGCGCCGGAGCTACAAGTCGTCCTCGAGGAGAAAGAGAGGAGAGATTCCTGCTCTCGCCTCTCTTTGTTCTCTCCATCTTGGCAAGCGTCTCGCATCGGGAACGACGAAGGAACGTGCGTACGCGCGTCTCACGCTCGGGACCACCCGGGCGATCGCTTCATTACGTAAATTCGCCACCACTCGCGTCCTCCGCGTCTTCGCGTGCCCGTTTCGTCCGTGCACGCGCCGCGCCGCGCCGTCCCGCCGCGCCGTCCATTCTTCGTGCGATACCAGGCAATGATGCTCAAAGGTGATTTCGCGCGAAATACCAACACAACGCGTTCTTCCGAGAACTCGCCGAATTGATCGGACATCCTTGGTCAGAAATGATAATGCATGTATAAGAATGTATTCCTGGGTCAATATTAATCTTCTTCTCAACAAAAACTAGTCCCTGAACACTATTTAATATTCGATATAATTGAGCATCTATAATCAATCTTGGAGAATGTAAAAATGATAAAATCTTATTATCTAATTAATTCTATGATAAGATTTTATCTTAAAGAATATTATATATTCATAAACGTTAATTTACAGCGAAAAATTCTTGTTTAATCTGAATTTTCAGATTTGTCTCATTACGCTCTACCTATCAATCATGTTACGTGTATGATAGACTTTAATTAATCCAATTTGTCGTCCAAGTATTTTATTTTCGATAACTGTTCTAATCGATCAATTTCTGCAATTATTAGCTGGATGAATTATTCATTTTCGAATGGAGATATAGTCGCATCTTTAAAATTGAGTATATTTTAAGCTATGTATTTTATATGATGACAAATTACGCACTTTGGAGATAGGATGACCGTGAAAACAGGCGTGTACCGAGTGCTGCTATAACCGTGCGCCTTCCGTATACGCGACTCTGATTGAGAAACAGTCAGTCGGAGTGTTTGCGCAGTACTTCTACGATATCTTCGGTGTTCCGGGATCTGTGCTGGGAGTACAGCCATACAAACATCGGTTAACCGTTCACCTACCTACGACCGCGCGGTCCATGCATTAAACATTCTCAAACACGAACGATCTTACGTCCAGCGATGGGCCAACTTCGCTGATCCGTGTGTACTTGCGTGAAAACACAATCCGCGGTCGTGAATTTTGAAACAGGACGCGGATTTTTGTTGCAATTAAAACTGCTGCGTCGCACGACTATTCTTTATGCCATGGATTTTTTTCTGGTTTTTTTTTTCATGTGTTGTGCGTACGTTGCACCACCTTGAATAAAATTCAACCGTTTACTAATAAATCATATTTACATATAAATCAAATATACTGTGCAGAGTGTAAAATACAAACAAGCACGAGTGTACATACTTGTGCAGATTAGTTGATTGCATCTCAGTAGTTACTTTGATATGCTTTTATATCTGTTAAGAGAGTAGAATTGATAAATAAGCGATTTTACGTTAACTAAGTATCCTAATAATTTATAGATATCTTAGTAATTTATATGGACAGATTTTTAATTTATTCATCACAGTAGATTTAAAGAGTTTTGTCTTCTCGTCTAAATGTAGGGCAAGGAAAAAAACAGTGACGCAAAACGCAAACATGGGTAAAAATCAAAGAAAACGAATTTATGGGCGGAAGAAAGGGTAGCCAAAACTGCGCTTGGAATAGTAGGAAGGCTAGCTCTAGGTCAGCTTTGATCGCGATGACCACACACTTTGCTTTAGGAAACTTGGTCAGAAATATTCTCGGGATATAGATTTTAATTCAAATTTAAAGATTTGCATTGGTTTTTCATTTGAGGCATATTAAATTTATATACCAATCTGTGTATCGTAAGAAGGAAAATGCATTAAATTATTTACTCTTAAGCATTTCCCGCAAGGTGTAACTCTAACCATTCTAGGGTATTGTCTTCCGTAGTCCCCTGGATATTGCGTTGCTCTTGTACGTCTCGATCTATACGTTTCAGGAGCAACAGTCGATTCGGAGATAGGGGTCGGACGTTGTGCCGCACTTCTCAAGCGTTCTAATGTTTCTCTTGCTAGCTCTAGAAAAATATAACGATTTTGTGTAAATTATTTACATATCTGAATATGCATCGATCATGATGTAACTTGCCGCCCATATCTTCCTCAGTATCCTCGACATCTGATGCTGCATCGACTGAAAATCAGAATTAATTAAACGATTAGATTAAATTATTGTTTTATATTTTCCTATTGATTAGTTTCAGCAGAAATTAGAAAGTTTTGATTTGGAAGCAATTTTGTGTCAAGAAAACAAAACTAACTGTTGCATTATATCTATATGATAATGCACTATTACATATTATACATGAATTTTCTATTTACAATCGATTCGCCGTGGAACAATGGCCACTCCAGTTGTAAGATCTAGTCTACGTGGAGTAGGTCTTAAACGGGTTCGAGGAATAGGACGTTGATAATCTTGCTGTATAGTTCTTTTTGGAGTCGAGATATATTCTGGACTAAATTCATCCTCATAATATCTTGTCGATGTACGGAGATCTTCTGGAGTTCTAGTTGAAGTTCACATACTTTTTAGTATTTTTTTAATAAATTGAGATGATCTTTTATTCTGATCGTGAAAACGCTGTTTATGAAAGTTCATATAACATTAAGAAGAAAATATATATTATAATATATATTATATACTATAATATATATAATATGTTACATTTTTATGATGATTAAATATAGAAAATATTTTTTCAAATAATTGATTATATCATCTATATTTTCCAACAATATGTTTAGTTTAGAAATTGTTATACATTGACGATAATGTGTTGGATAACAATGTTGAATAATAATGGAGTTATATATTTAATAAAATCTTAATGCAAAAAATTATATATAGGTTACGTACGTCTCAAACTCGGAAAGTGCAGTGTGATATTCTTCTCTATTAGTATCTGGATTGCAAGTACACATAGTCGATTTTACAGAACAAATATACTTATTTCGTAATTTTGAAAATGTTGTGCCGAAAAATTTTACAAATGTGAAATATTACGTCAAAATTATAGCCTTACATAGCGTCGATCGATCAAGGCCTGTCGACTGCTTCTCTCATCATCCTTCACAGCGCAGAATAATTCGTATATGCATCATATCTTTGTAAATGGAAACTTGATTGAACTTGCATTTTTACATTATTAATGCACACTGAAACGAAATAACAAAGCAAGTTTTTTCAAATTCTTATTGCATGATGTGATTTTATAAAAACAATTTTTTTTTTAATTTAAATAAGAAACGTAATCTCGGCAAAAAGAATTTTAAGAATTTTACGAAAATATTTATATACCTAAGTTAAATAAAGTTTCATTCATCTTGACACGAGTGCCTTATGAATCGTTCGAGGTATAATGCCATTTAACACTGTTGACTAGGCAAGTTTTTATTTCGATCGAGCACAATAATTCTCTTTTACATTTCGACTCGTTTACGTTAGTCAATTGAAATCTGGAATAAAAAATTGTTCGTTTAACGGACTTTGAAAGCCTGACGTGTCCCGCGGATAATCAACGCGGGTTGCCTGTGTGTCTGAAATTCTGAGCGCCATGATGTATTTATTTATCATCGTTTTGTCAGACGGCAAAATTGTAACTTGATATTCATTAGATTTAAATAGCACAACGCGTTGTTCTTCCGATCGAGCTTCTAGATAACGTGTGATTACGCAATCGCGCCGTCTTCACGGCATGACATAGACCGGTCGTGTGATCTCCCAGGAAAGTTACACGCACGCACGCAAATGGGCGCGAGCACGTAGTACGGTGGGCGCGTGCGAAGGACCACACACCGTGTGATATTCAAATGAACGCCACTTACGACCGACAATCGCGCTGCCATAAACGTCGTTTCGCGGTTTCACAGGCGTGTCTCCTTATTCCGGTCGAACTGCTCCGTGTGATTTTGACGGTTTTTACACGAAACAAACTGGAGTTATCGGCAGAGCCATCTCGATAGGCCCTACAGTTAATTAGCGACGATATCACTTAGATTTGAGAAGATTGTAAAAGCGTGTTTCCATTAACACCTTGGTTGCGGAGACCATATGATATTCGCAATACGCGGTAATAACTGTCCCGAGAACATCACGTAGATGTAACGCTATTGAAGTATAATTATTTAAGAAAAATTGTAGAAAAAAAGAATCGACGTATGAAGATAAATTTACATATTAGCAATATTACTTGCTAATATAACTGAATTAAATAATGTTGAATTTACGTGATAATATAGTTGAAGTGTTACAGATGATTTTTAATAGTGCCAGTTATATGTGTATATTATGTAATTGTATGAATACTAGAATATATGTATATATAATATTCTAGATTAATTTTTGTAATTGTTAAAGGGCGGAAAACAGGTTGGAAGGACAAATTAAAAACGCGCGAAATTATATGACATAACGAGCGGAACTGCATTTAGCTATTTGCTAGTAACCGAATCGATCAGTTTGTGGTCTCTAGCATAGAAACGCTCAAGATAAATGACACTTCTCGATATTGAATAAAAAGGTAAACACTCGATACGCGGTGAAATCTATGCATTCATAGCGGCCAACGCAGTAAAATATTCCTAGAAGGAATTCATCCACTGATAGATGACTGGTTTTATAAATATTGATGGCCGCGGGTCTTACATAGCGGGTCAGAGAGCTTTTGATTTTGGTTTTCCGACGGGGGGATGGCGTCGGAAATATGGCCATCGCGCTGATGACGCCAACGATGATGATGATGATCATGATGATGATGATGGAGCTGGTTCTCGATATTGGGTTCTTCGAGGGGAATTCCTACTGGGCAGAGCGCGAAGCGCCGTGTACAACGACACCTCCGCGTCCATCTCGAATCTGTAATTCAAATCCGAAAGTCAAATTAATTTAACGCTCGTCATTTTTCACGTTTCGGCGGCGCCGCGCCGCGCCGCTCCGCGGCACGCGGAGCCCCGGCAGCTATCCTTCGATATTTCATCCCGTAGAAGGCTGTGGCCCACACTCTCCCCCCGTGATAGATGCATCTCCTCGTGATTGTGCTGTCACGCTCTTGAACCGTGGAAGACGCGCCACGAATATTTCAAGTATTACAAATAATGTGCGACCGTGGGAGCGAGTGACAGTTGACGTTGCACGCGCTATTCCGCTACCGATACGTACATGGAAGATTTATCTCATTCCTTGCACTGACCTTGCACAGACTATGTGTCGCGAGCTACATAGAGTCGTGTAAATTTGTCGTATCTCATGTGCACTTTATGACAATGAATTATGACAATGAATTTTTCACCAGGTTGTTCAACTTATGGAGACGTATTGATGTAGTTAATGCCCCTAAGAATAACGATGATGTTTACGATTCGATTGGAGTACAATCCAAAACGAGATGCACCTATTTCGAGAGTCATTATGAGTTAACAAGCCCTCGCAGGTTATAAATATCTCTCACCTTATAACCTATCGATATTGAACGGTGGTTGAGACCAGTCGGCAAGCCGTGAATGAGTTAGTGCTTATAATCGCGTTAGCCTAATCGGTGCTGTAGGGAGTCCGTTTCGGAGTTGAAAGGGACCAAAGGCACTAAAACGGTCCTATTAAATTTCTATAGACCGCCACAATTGGGCCACCCAATCCCCAATACAATAACGAGCGTACAGTAACTTTTCGGAGAACTAAATCTATCTAGGTTCGGTGAAGAGGATGAAACGATTTCATGCTTGTCACCACTATTCTCATTTCCTTGGAAACTAAATGTTAGCATATTTCTTAAATTTATTTCAACATGAGATCTCGGTGTCTCTTTCAAATTATTAATTAATCTTGGGTTGTGCAAAGTTTGAGCGAAAGATTTCATAATGTTGATGTAAAATATTAAATTTATACAAGACAAATCAGTTTCACGTTGGCATTAATTATTATCGAAACATTTCGCTTGGCTCAGCGCATATGGAATATTTTCGAGAAATTCTCGAAGAAAAAGACACGTGAACAGCTTTTTATATAATTTATCGAGCAATCGAAGTAGGCTTAATCCGTTAACGAATTCTTTTCCTTCTCCGCCCTCGGCGACGACGGTGAAGGGAAACCGACGTGATGCACGACTGCACCCCCATAAATTATTATATAACCGCCACCCTATCTCCGAATATCTGCGAAGTTTCAGAAATCTCTTTCTCGTCTTTCCATTTCTCCTGTCTTCTATCCCATAGATCACAAAGAAGCCGCCAGTAAGTTCACGGTAAAGTTTATAGGAGACAAAAGGGGAAATGTGTTGGCCGCTGAAAAATCGCCGGCGCTGCAGCTATTATTAATCCACGTCGGAAACGCGTGAGTCCCGTTGCGACGTGTTTTCATGACATAATTTGGAATCGATTTAACTTCTTAGCGCCTCTGCGTGACGCGTAAAGGACTCTTACTCGCCTGCACCCGTCCGTAACTCAGGACGTACAACATTCCGGCTCTTAAGTCTCATTACCATACTCCTTCGTTTGCCGCTCGGGTTCTGCATACCTATTACATAGCTATTACACTGCTGCCGGTTTGCTCGACCGGTTACCGGTACCTGAATATTTATTTAGCCGATTACTTTTTTCATCGACTCCGGGGAAATTCGATCGCCGTCGCGCTGGCTGCTTCGTAAAATTACGGGCAGCGAATGAAGGACGGATAAGAGGCTGCTGTGCCCTTTCAAAGGCGGCGCAGTTATTACGCATGCTTATAATATTGCGCTTGAGATATTAATTACGTTATTTAGCCGAGATAACTAATTAGATATAATCCGTATAAATAATTAGATGGCAAAAATGTTAATGCTCACTAAATAAGTTATTCTACGAACTAATTATTATTAACAAGAGTCGCAGAATGCTACTCAATACATATATGTACCCTAATATATATATAGATATATTTCTCGTTGGAAAGTTTCTTTAGCTGGCTCCGGTCATGTAAAATTCTATACAAATTTAGATTGATTGTTAAAAAGTAAATTGTCTTTTTGCAGTGTCAATTGCCTTTTTTGAAAGATAAAGTCACAAAACTAGATTGCAATCACTAATGCTGCCAAAAGTAAAGAATTTTTGCTTTCTCTCCTTGCAGATTCTTTAAAGTGATGGATGATTTCACATCGACATGCGGTGAAGGTGAGTTTGCATTACTTCAAATATACTTGAAACAAAGTTCCTCGACTCAAGAAATCGAAGTAACTTTATTGCATCTACCACAATCTTGGACAAATATGTAACGCTTTGCATTGATCGCGAGTAGTCGCATCGCTGAGATGTTTGATGAAAGTTGCAAGACTCATGTCTGTGATCGGCGCCAACTAAAATGCATCAGGTTCGACAACAGTAGGAAATAGCTCTTAAGAAACTTCGTACCAACAAACGTAAAGAAAAAAAAGAAGCAACATCGAACGCACTGACGGGTACTCGTGTTTCTGGCGAGAAAAATCTCTGGTGGGAATCCTCGCTCGAACGAAACTGCTGATCACGACTGTACGGACGCATCCCTTTCTAATTTACTCTCTCGATTACGGCTCGGCCGTGTTGTACGTTGTGAGAATGAATGTAGAATAGTCGGTGGTTGTTTTACTCGCGCGATTGTACGATCCGGCTTCTGTGTTTCGAACGAAGGAGAATTCGACAAAGACGACGACGACGACGACGATTGGAAACGAATTCGACCGGAGAGTTCGAGAGGCGAAGGATCGCCCACGCGCGAAGTATATACCGGGGCGTTGTTAATTATCTGCCGCCGTTTATCAACCAGTAGAGAAGAAAGTTCCCTTGAGCGTTTCTTCTTCTCCTCCCTATACTCTCGTTTCTTTTTCTTCGTTCCCGTCGTCGTTTTCTTCCTTTTCGTCTCTTCTCCGCGTGTGTAACCTCGCGTTTCTGTCCCTCCATTTTTTCTCATGCCAAACGGCCAGTCATATCTATGAGACTACGTCGGGATCCGGTGGAACACGTGTACACCATAATTTAAGAATCGAGTTTTGATCTCTGCTTTATTTCGAGGTATCTTTAAATCTCTATGTATCTAGGATCTATTGTCGTTGAGGTACACGTT